GTGCCGTTTTCACTGCTATGCGCTTCTTATGGTTTCTTTATGCGGGAGATGTGAAAAGGGTGCCTTCGGGTTGGCCGGGATATGCAATGGAACAGGTGCCACGCCATCAAGTGGCAACACTATTGCGCAGGCAGATGTTCACCCTGTTGCGGTGAAATAGCGCGGACAAGGGTTGCTACATAGAGCGTTGTATGCCGCATCTGAGGGCGAGTCATTGGATACACATGCCGAGTTGAATGGTCAATGTGTGTAAGTCACACCGTGTATCGGTCCCTGCTGGGCAATACATTGCCCGCTGGCTGCTGGCGGCGTCTGCACGGGGTCACTGCAATTACTGTGCCGCCAGTTTGTCGCTTTCGTGTCAGTTGTTTTTTTTCGCTTGTCGCTTTCGCTTTCGCGTTCCTGCTCGCAACGCACACTGCCAGAGGCGGCGGAGAGCTTGAGATATCCACCTACAGCCCTAACATTATCCCGGCAAAACAACCTAACAGCGATGTGTAGGAGCATAACTGGAAGCATTCCCCTTAAGATTCAGATGAGAATCCAGTTGTAGAATTCTGCTGCTCTCGCAGTCGTAGTCGCATTCGCGATGACAGTCGCAGTGGCAACGGCAGTCGCAGTCACAGCCTCAGCCTCAGCCTGCCTCAGCCTCAGCCTCAGCCTGCCTCAGCCTCAGCCTGCCTCAGCCTCAGCCTCAGCCTGCTTCAGCCTCAGCCTCAGTCTGCCTTCAGCCTCGGCCTCAGCCTCAGCCTGCCTCAGCCTCAGCCTGCATCAGCCTCAGCCTCAGCCTCAGCCTGCCTCAGCCTCAGCCTCAGCCTCCTGCCTCAGCCTCAGCCTCAGCCGCTCAGGCCTCAGGCCTCAGCCTCAGCCTCAGCCTCAGCCTGCATCAGCCTCAGCCTCAGCCTCAGCCTGCCTCAGCATCAGCCTGCCTCAGCCTCAGCCTCAGCCTGCCTCAGCCTCAGCCTCAGCCTGCTTCAGCCTCAGCCTCAGTCTGCCTTCAGCCTCGGCCTCAGCCTCAGCCTGCCTCAGCCTCAGCCTGCATCAGCCTCAGCCTCAGCCTCAGCCTGCCTCAGCATCAGCCTGCCTCAGCCTCAGCCTCAGCCTGCAGCCTCAGCCTCAGCCTGCTTCAGCCTCAGCCTCAGTCTGCCTTCAGCCTCGGCCTCAGCCTCAGCCTGCCTCAGCCTCAGCCTGCATCAGCCTCAGCCTCAGCCTCAGCCTGCCTCAGCATCAGCCTGCCTCAGCCTCAGCCTCAGCCTGCCTCAGCCTCAGCCTCAGCCTGCCTTTCAGCCTCAGCCTCAGTCTGCCTTCAGCCTCGGCCTCAGCCTCAGCCTGCCTCAGCCTCAGCCTGCCTCAGCCTCAGCATCAGCCTGCCTCAGCATTCAAAATGTGGCCCGGGAATGGAGTTCTGGGAACTCGAAGAACACGAAGTGGCCTACAGTTGGCTCCGGGCATTCAAAATCATGCCCAGGAATGGAGTTCTGGGAACTCGAAGACCACGAAGTGGCCTACAGTTGGCTCCGGGCATTCAAAATCATGCCCAGGAATGGAGTTCTGGGAACTGGGAACTCGAAGACCACGAAGTGGCCTACAGTTGGCTCCGGGCATTCAAAATCATGCCCAGGAATGGAGTTCTGGGAACTCGAAGACCACGAAGTGGCCTACAGTTGGCTCCGGGCATTCAAAATCATGCCCAGGAATGGAGTTCTGGGAACTCGAAGACCACGAAGTGGCCTACAGTTGGCTCCGGGCATTCAAAATCATGCCCAGGAATGGAGTTCTGAGAACTCGAAGAACACGAAGTGGCCTACAGTTGGCTCCGGGCATTCAAAATCATGCCCAGGAATGGAGTTCTGGGACCTCGAAGAACACCAAGTGCGTTACTCTTGGCTAAAATAGGAGTTCCCCGTTTTCCAGGGCACCCGTCCGGCATTTGCCCAGACCCCCCTGGGGAGTCATGATGCTCTCTTTTGACCCCACTAGCCTATCAGTTTTCGCTGTTAGGTAAAACAGGCGCCTGGCCAGAAATTGTATGGGGAGGGCGGGCTTCGGCGGGCACGCGCAGGGACGCTTCCGTGCGGCGCACGCTGCACAACCCCGAGGGGAAGCGCGAACCCTGGCCTTGTGTCGCCTATAGGCCTACCAAAACATGTTCTAAGAACATGTTGTGGTCTGCGCGAATTGCTCCTTAAACACTTCTGGCTGAGACTGTCTTGTTTTGACAGATCGGGCTTGTGTTCTAAGAGCATTGTTTTCGTTCTTAGATCATTTTGTGGTTCTAAGAACATTTCGTGGTAGGCCTATAGAAGTGCCGGGACGGTCGGTCCCTGCTCAATTTCTCGCAGGCCTGGAGGTTGACACCAACACCAATATCGGCGGTGTGCCTCCACCGAGGGAAGAGGATCCCGATCTCGGCGATGGTGGTAACATTATGGCTTTCAGGGTGGCCGAAATATTACCACCAACACCGAAGTCTAGGATCACCTTCCCCACCCCCTGTAGAGGCAACCTCCTCGGTTGGTGCTATTTCCTGGCCTCCAAGATTCTATTGCTTGGGGGGAGCAGGACTCGAGCATCTAGCTACGTGGTGTAATCTGGGTGGTGTCAATATGGCGTAATGTTGTGAAATGCGTGCGGTGCAAGCTAGTTGGTGCAAGCAGCGAGTTGCGACCTCTGAGGTGCAAGCTGCGCGATGCTAGTTCTGATGTGCAAGCTGCGTGGGGCACCCTGTATGGTGCAATCTACGCGGTGCAATGATTTTGTCGGCTCATGAGTTGTCAACTCCACCGTCCGTGAAATCATCCCACCCTCCCAGCCGCAACCTGTTTGGCAAAACCCATGGGGCCGCTTGGCCTTGACTGGCGCATCTTTCCCGCCGCTCTGGCGCGCGCGAATTCGCGCGCAGAGCAGTAAGCCGGTTTGGCGTTGCTCAGACGGCCGCGATGGCGTTTGCCGATGGGAATTTCCCAGCTCGTCTCAGAGATCGCGCTGGCCCGCGGGCACTATATCATGATGACGGCGACAACGGCGACAACGATGATGATAGTAGCAATGGTGGTGGCGATGACGATGACGGCGGCAAGGCCAATGACGGCGCTGATGCTGGTGACGACACTAACGATGCCGATCTCCATGTGCCAGTGGATGAAGATTGATGATGGCGGTGGTTTGCGCCGACGGTAACGGCGATGATGCGCCGTCGCTGATGCGAGTTATGGTAAGGAAGTGCGCGCGCAGAAATCCAAGACATGAGGCAGGCGTTTGTTGAAACAGCATTTGATTGGAGAGGCCTGACGGCCGGTGCCGCCGACCCTGATCGAAAGGGCTGGGAGTGGGGGGAGGAAGCGGAGGAGGAGGAGGAAGTGGAGGAGGCAGGCGTTTGTTGAAACAGCATTTGATTTGCCATCTGTGTCTGGAGCTTTCGACATCTCAGTGCTTCGGGAACCCATGGTTCCGGAAGAGTGTCGACGCGTGCGCGGTGGCGGCGCGCGTGTGGCCCGCCCGGTGTTGGTTATCGGACCCAGGCTCGCGCACGGGGCGCAGGCTCGATCAGCGCAGATGCGCCGCGCGATGGGATCGGGGTTCGGCTTCTGGGCGAGATTGTGGACATCGTGTGGCTTCCCTGGAAGAAGAAATAGCGCCACAAACAGAAACCTGTGGCGCTCCGCGGATCCAAGAAGTCGGCGCGGAGCGCCACAGGTTTATGTTTTGTGGCGTTGCTTCTTCTTCTATTCCAAGGTGTTCAGCCAGATGCGCGCAGACAACTGCATGATTTGTTGTGGCAGACTCACGCTTTGTGTGGGCTTGCTTGCAGGACTATACTGCATGTGGCATGGGCATTGCCATGTCCGCGTGCATGTGGATGTCGTGTCATTTGCACGCGGGATGCTCGAACAATTGTTTTTGAGATAAGCGAGTATTCGTGCATGGTATCATTTGACAGGTATGAGGGGGGCGATAACCGGCCGGCCTTGGCTGATATGATAATTTATAGCGTGAGTGACGAGGCGGAGTCATATTCGGTTTGCAGTGCCCCTGGCCGATCGGTTAAGTCTGGGCTCGGGGGCAGGGGTTACATGTTTTTTTTAGAAGGGGAATCCACGGAGAGCAGCGGTTGATGGACAAAATCCTGCAACAAAAAGTGGAACATTGGAAAATTACACCAGAGAAACCCCAATCAGTGGATGGTTTTCGCTGAGGGGATCGACCTGGAACCTGGGAGCCCAGGAACCCAGAACCTACCGACATCGGCCCCGAACCAATAACCGGGAATTTGGGAACCCGGAAGCGGGAGGAGCCCAGCCTGCTACCAACATCGGCGGGAAATCTGCGCCAAATATGCCGACTTCCGCCAGGAGCCCCTCAGTGCAAGCACTGACCGGGGAGAAAGGTGCAGGATTTTGTCCGTCAGCCGAGGCTGTGGGACACAGCCCATCTGGCTGCGACGAGCGGCCACCGGGCGAACCCCACGGGGAGCCCAGCCAGGGCGTCGGGCGGTCTGGAGGATGGCCACGGGTTCGACGGTTTTTCTGTGGAGTGCGCGACGTTCCCACGCCAAAAGTCAATGGACGTCCTGGGGTCTCAGAGTTGGGTCTCTTGTGGAAGGTTTTTCTTGTGGACTGGCCTCCACTGTAGTGGCTCGAGCACAAGCCCCTTACAGATCTACAGAGAGGCGCTCGGACGCCCAGAAGGGGCCGAGAACGCGTAGAGTTGTCGATGTTCGAATTTCGAGCCTCGAGGTCAAGCTTGCGGGGATAACCGAGGGAAAAGAAGACGGTGACCATGATCATGATGGCGCGGGATGCTGTCGACGCCGATCTTGGTCATGGTCCGCCGGCTGTGGCCGATTCGCGAGGACGACCCACGAATCGGCGACGACCAAGATGGACTGACCAAGGTCAGTACCGACGCTTCCGCTGAGAATCTTGGTCGTGGTCCTCTTTGTCTTGCCCTCCAGCCGAAGACATAAACAGCACGGTGATAGAAAATCCCGCGGCCTCCCG